AAAAATAAATCAAAAAAATATAAACACATAAAACGTGAAACCTAAACCCTGACACATAAACATGAACCTGAGCTCATAAACCTTGAACTTGAAATTACGTACAACAATACTTATAATGCAGATATATATAACAAAAAAGTTACTTTGTGTTCTCTAATTAGAACTAATATATATTACTGTATGTTACATTAAATCTTCTAGGTGAACCTAAATCTTCAGGAATCGTATAATTTTCTATTATATTCCTATCCATTATTATATTACGTTTCCTTTTAGATTTTCCTAGTAAGACCTTTTTTACCCAATACCCAAATGGGGTAAACTAAAGGAAATATGGTATATGTACCACATTTTTTTTGTATCATATTTATAAACATGATATAAAGTTAATAAAATTTATATTATATAATGAAATACATTTTCTTTATAATTTAGATTAATAATTACCCTATAAAATAAAATTGAAAAAACTGTAATTCCTATAATTAATGATGCAATGGTCATAGCTTTTGAAACCGTAAATTCTGAAGAATTGATTGGATCATCAATAATGGGACTCAATGCTGAATGTCCAATATGGACATAAGAATTTGTAGATTTTGAGCCTGTGAAACGGCCCTGATCTGCAATTATATGTTTCTCTCCATCTTGATATTTAGATATTTCATGTTCTACTACCCTTCGACCGCCCTGTTCTTCTCTTTGAAATGTTTCTTCTTGTGAATTTTCTTGTGATTCTATTCGTGGCACTACCTCAGGTTCAAATAGTTCTTCCAGAGTTTTATGATTCTTTTCGCTTGATGCCAATCCTTCTGTATTTCCTGCTGAATTGCATGTCCAGTTACTTAAGTTCTCATTTTCTCTATCTTTAAAGTATTTTTTAAAAACAATACAAGTCGCTTCACTATTGTTTGATTTATTACACTTGTCTTTGAACTCGTTATATTTTATGATATATGCATACACATAATTCTGAAAAGCCTTATTACAAAACCTATTACCATTACTAAAATAATTTTTAAGCGTGTCATAATCCTTCGAAAAATCAAATAACAACTTAATATCCATATAATTATCTTTATCGACATTATATATATTATTATAACATATTTTCAGACCATCATTACTTTGTAGTAAAAAATTAAGTACATCTATTACACCTATAGAATGTAATTGAAATGTTATATTTCTATATATTATATCATTTAACCAATAGTATAGGTAATCACAATCATCACGATTAAAGCCCTCCGTTTTACTCTTTTTATATATATAACATAAGGCCTTATATATTTCTTTAGAAACATTATTTAGCCATAGTTCCTGTTTTAGAGGAAAGTCAGCACGATTGTAAAAATAAGCATCCTCACAATCCAAATCATTATTATGGAAAGTAGCATACTTTTTTTTTGAAGGTAATTCTTTAAGTTCATCATCCTATGAATAAAAATCAAATGATAAAATAAGTATTTTTATTTATAAAAAAATATAAATAATTTAATTACAAATATCGTATCTTAAAGTAAATTACAATTTACATTATATAAAAAACATACCCCTAACTGAGATCCCATTATTAACAAACGTTAAAACGTGATATATAAACAAAATGAAAAAAAACGTATATTTAACTGTGTATATGCTAATGTATTTAAAATTTTCTAATAACATTTATAAGAATATATATGGTGCTATTTTGAATTAAGAATTTGTGTTATTCATTATGTCTATTTTTATAAATCTTTATGATATGTTATTATTATAATATTATTGTCAGTGAAATATGAATGTTCACTTGTTTATAGATTATATACTACATAAATATATATATATATTAACAAAGCATACAATGATACTTACAATAGGAATGAGAAATGAATTATTTGTAATTCATATTAATGTATATAATATTATAGTGTATGTTACCGTTATAATATATATTATCTATACACAATGTTTTTAAACCAAAGACTCGTAGATACTATAGGTTAAATTAAATATTTTAGATTTTTTTATACAAAACATTATTATTTTTATTTCATATATATAATTTATATAAATAATGGTTTATTTGTATATATTATAAAAAGAAGTAGACCTATACTTTTTCACGCTAAAAATTTAATAGACTTCTTAAAATTTTTTATTATTTTCTGAATTCGCAAAGTTCTCCCCCAATTCCATATTATGATTATTATGTTCTATTTATATATTGTTGATATTAACAATAATATTTTAATTCGCAAGAAGAAATAAATTATAAATAATTTTTATTTATATGTTACTATTCTAATTTGATTATTACAACAAATAAAATTTCTTTTTTACTGTATTTTATTTTTACTGGATATAATATGAACACATAAAACACTTTACATATTTATAGTACTCATTTGTTATTCTCTCCTATTTCACAATTTGCTATATAATGTATAATCGATAAAATATAAATTAACAATGAATACATAAATTCATTTTTATTATAGGATTTACAGTAAAAAAGATCTAACCTATAAGTATGTACAAATTATAAATTAAAAAAAGCTTTAATGCATAAGATGTAATACCATTAAATGTATAAATTTATAAAACCTAATGTATATAATATTTACGAAATAAAAAATTTCCATACTGAAAAATAACATATATTATAGAATATGTACAATATATAATTTAGTTAAACCCTATACCCTGAACCCTAAATCTGAAACTCTGATTTCTCGATGTAGTCATCTGATAATTATGTTTTCTGAATCCATAATTACTTACATTTAAGATTTATTTTTTTCCTATAAGATAAATTATACATAAGGAAATACCATATTTTTTTTTATTGCGTTGTGTTTTTCGGTGTTGTCTGAATTATTACTTATATATATTTTTACAAAATTTTTAAGGAGTCTTTATTTCAATAATATAGAAAAAGAAAACAATTATGATTATTACATTTACGCTTTATAATTATATAAAAAGAATACTTGTCCTTTTATAGCTATTTATTCAACATTATATATGTAATCATATATTAAGACCTATTTAATTTCTGTACATATATATAATTCTAAATATGTTCAAAAAAAAAAATTTTATAGTAGCACATATATATATGCATAATTGAAAATAATCCATATTATCATTATTTTATTTGTATTCCTTAAAATTTTTTTATGAAAATTCATTATATATCATTTAATAATATAATGTTTTATAGAAAATTATAAAATTTATCATATACATGTTATCATGGGATTCGTATCTGAAGAAATTTATCTATGTATATATAATTATTTAAAACTTTATAACGATTATTTGACATTCCAATTACATATTAATTTAATGTAAAAATAATATAAATTCGTTTAAGTGTATTACTTTATTTACTGATATGTTAAGTAATCATGGCATGTCTCAAATGTTTTATTTCTTATTTGTACTATATCATTTGAATCTAGTAATATATAAAACTAGAGATATTTTTAATTATACGAGTGACATGTAATTACTTTTACATTATTTGCTAGATAAAATGGGGAATATTTGTTTTCATTATTACATGTATATAAAACAATATGTAATCGTCAAATATATATAGA